GAAGCTAACGTCGGAGTCCACTCGAAGAGCAGACGATTATATCCCAGAAGAAGGAAGACCACCGAAGAATCTGGATAATCGTATCCTGCTAGAAGAAAACTCCCAGCTACTAGTATTGTTACTGAGAAACCCCCAACTTGCCCTGGTAAAGAGACCAGAGACCATTTTTGAATTGAAAATCAGAGTTTAGTAGGATTAGTATCCAAACATAGTATTACATCACAACAACTAGGAAGTCAACAAGAACAACATGAGTTTACCATATACTGTGCCAGACTTGGAAGACGGATTTGCTCCAACAACACCTTTGGGAAATAGACCATTTGCGTCGGGATCGAATTCGAACTGGAATACAGGATTTACGGCACCGCCACCACCAATGAAGAAGGATAAAGGAAAGATGCCAGCCAATCAATACAGAGAACAACAGGTTGAAGAAGAGATGTCAGACTCAGAAGATCCTACACCACAGAGACAAGCCAAGCAAACGGAACCTCCGGTGACTGGATATGGATTACATAATGCTAGAGGATCAGATGGTGAACTGTTGAAATTTTAGACTCATGCGCGGAAGAGGATGAGGGCCAAAAAATGAAGGGACTCTTTTTTGGGAAAGGTTCACGGAAAGGAGTGTGAAGAACCGATGAGTTTTATTTCTTGTAGCTAGCCTGATTTAAATAGACTAAATACAAAAGGTTAAAAATGTGGTTGAGAGAAAAATGAATAAAGAAAAATATTTTGAATAAAAAATTGAGAGAAAATAGAATAAGTTCTTGGAAAATAACAAACTGTGCAGTACTTCTCATTCTCTTGTAGTAAAAGCCAGATGAGCTAGTCAAGATAAAATATTCTAAGTCACAAATAACAAGAGGCGTTAATTCTAGTTAACCAATTTTTTAATATCAAACAATAAATCAGAAAAGGAAGAAATTAATACCGTAGAGACAAGAGTGATTGAGTTGAGCTTATTTTCTTAGGGTTCAAATTTGACTCAAAAGAGGACTCAGAAAACAACCAAAAACCAGCTACTTGGAAAAACAACTTCAGTCTGAATTAAGGTGACTAGAAAGGGATGAAGGGCAGAGAGAGACAGAACTGAGAAAAATTCAACATGAACCGACAGAGAGAAGATATGGACCAAGGATCATCAAGGAACCGGGACTTGTTTACGACGGGACCAATTTCACACGATTTCTAGCGAGATACGAACGAGCGGCTTTGGCGTTTCAGGCATCGGACTACGAAAAGGCGTTACAGATTGGGCGATTTGTACATAAGGAGGAATTGAAGTTGGAACTCGAGGCGATGGAAGGTTACGACAGCTTCAACTGGACGGAGTTAAGGAAGGCAATGAAGGAGAGTTGGGGGGAATTGGACAACACTATTCTATATACTACGGCGGATTTGGTCAAAATTGTGGAAGAATACTCCAGAAAGGGAGGACTGAAGGATTACAAAGAGTACAAGGCTTACTTGGGAAAATTCACCACTATCTTGAAATATCTCGTGGATAATGAACATTTGAACAAGAAGCAGGACACATCACTTCTTTTCATAAGTGCATTTTCTAAAGAAAGTCAGAAGAACATCAAGAGGACTTTAGTCAGTAACGGACAACTCCCAAAAGGACCAGACGGCTGTAGTAAACCTCCACTGTGGAAACATGTTACAGAAGCAGCGGTGTGGTGGTCCAGGCTGTTGTGCGCAACAAAACTGCCAAAACCCCTACCTTATAACCTAAACCACTTACATATATGAATATATTATTACATAATCAGAATCTACATACAATTTTACCCATAGTCACTCACTACAACTATACCTCTATCTCTATTAGCTTAGAAGATAATCCAATATAAAGGTTAAAGCCATACCATAACTAGTCATTAATTAGTATTCAATAGTAGTTTACCACATTACAACCAACAAAGCAATCCGAAATCAGAATTCTCACGAGGGAACGCCAAACCTTCGACGCCAATTTACGAGCCTATGATGTGTTTTTACTGCCACAGAGAAGGTCATACAACTTACAGATGTTCCGAATTGTTTAAGGATGAAGAGCAAGGGCTAGTGAAAAGAAACGGGAAAGATTGGTACCTGCCAGATGGGCAACATATTCCATGGAACCCTTCAAGACCAATCCGAACCGTAGTTGCAACAGCCTCGGCAGACCCAAAGATGCAAGAACACACAAATAATGCGACCAAAACAGAACCGAAGCAAAATTCTGGGATCATGAAGTCATCAGCTCAAACTATAGATTGGGATCCACCAACATTAGGGGCTGAAAATTTTCTAGGAACTCACGCAATAACGAGGTCTGATGCGCAGAAGGGAAGACGAAGTGTCCGAATCCAGGAGCCAACAAACGATGAACAGATGGATGTGGATCAAGAGGAAGAAGTGGCCGAGATTTCGCCGAATCCTCCGAAGAAGCCAGTCGAGAAGGTTTGGAGTAAAGATAGAATCTCAGCTATGAAATCCAAGGATGCAAGCCCAGAGGAAATTTTGCTTCAGGAACTAGATAATGTCAAAATTCCGACCACTTTTGCTCAGCTCACGGCTATATCTCCAGCATACACATCTCAAATCATTTCGAAATTACAGAACAGACTCCCAGGGAAAAGTTCCGCAACTTACATAGCAACTGAAGCAGTCAAAATGTCGGCGATGGAACTCAACAATGAAGATGAAGAAAGAGATCCATGTTATTACAGTTGTGCTCTAGGATACGTAACAGCAGAAATCGGAGGTTCAAAAGTGGATTTTATGATTGATTCGGGCTCAATGGTCAATGTTATACCCAGCTCAGTTGCCCAAGATTTAGACCTGGAAGTGGTCAAAGTAGATATACCTATGAAAGGAGTCGGAGGAGCCAGATGTGATTTGAGCGGAGTAGCAGAAAACTGTCCAGTAACAATTGGAAGATTCTCCGGACCGGCTCATATTTTTGTCTCTCCAAAAGCACAGGACTGTATCCTTGGACGACCTTTTCTTTTTGATTACAAGTGTAATTTAGAATATCATGAAAGGGGTGAAACTTTAATTTTTCAAGGAGCAAATGGAAGAAAAGTATCAGTACCACTTGCAAAAACAGGAAAAGGTAGAGGTTGGAATAACATGAAAGATCTCAGCACTAACAGTATGAAGCCTTTTTTACAGGAGAAAAAATCCCGAAAAATTTCAAAAACAGAATCAGCCCAGCATTTTTTCTGATTCCCAGTGTTCACTTAAGGAATTACTCACTAAAGCTAGTCAAGCGAGTTGCATTCCGAACGCCGGGTCTTCTAGACTGGCTTAAAAATATTTTCTTTGATTTTTTTCAGATGCTTACAAAGAAGACAAAAATTGTTTTCATGAAGGTAATGTTGTGTAGAAAGAATTTTTTAATCAGTTTTATTTCACTTTTAAAAATTTTCAAAAGAGGTACAGCTCAATTCAAAGAATCAAGAAAAACAGGGCAAGACTTACCAAAACATTCACACAATTTACCTGAACCAGATGTCAACAAACACAAAGTAGATTTTGCTGCACCAGAAAAGGAAGTGGAAGATGCTGAAAAAACTACAGAAACTGATGATGAAGAAAATTTGGATAATTTTTTTCAACAGGAAGAAACAGATCAGTCCAACTCCAAAAAGACCAGCAATAATAGTTCAAACTTTCAAGAGTTTCACCTTAGTAAAATTTCTCCAGAA